CCCATTAGCAAGATGCACTTGGCAGAAAGTAATGAATCAAGTAATTTGAAATATAATACTTTTATAGCTAATTATATGTTCAAAACACTCGAACATTAACTAATTAATTCCTACAGCAAACCTAAGAGACAACAGTCAGAAGTATCACTATGCCCATTTTACTGATTAGTCTTGAGAAGAGGGGAGAAGTAAAGAGGTAGAGAAGTAGTATCACCACTTTCCATGTGCACCCCATTAATGAGAAAGAGAGAGAATACAATTTTTCTGATTATTTGGATGCTTATTTAATTTTGTTAGTGCTAAGATATATGGTCATGGACACATTATAAATTCGATTCGATTAGAAAACTATTCCTGGCCCTGAGCTCCATTGCTTATCCACAGGCCCTTGCTACATTTTTGTATCCCACTTCTACTGAAAAGAGCCTCCTAACTGAAATAAACAATTATACAAAGATAGCAAATGAAGTATTTGCTTAGTGCTTGAAAGATTTTTAGCTCAGGTGTTTTGTACTTGAATGTTTCTTTTGGGTATCTGTATCAGCATCAAACAAACAATAAACTGATTATACCACATAGTACAGAATGCCTTGAAAAGTCTAATTTTATTTTGGTCTTCCCAAAATTTAGGCAAAGGAACACAATGAAACTGCTAAACTATGAAGGTACTGTACAGATTTGTCCTGGACATATTTAGTGTTCACTTCTCTACTTAATTACCTGCTCCTGATTTATAATATATTACATAAACCTTAAGGAAAGACCAGAGAAAGACTTCTATTAAAGTTTAAGAATTTTGAAGCAAAAGAACTACAAATACCCTGAATATTTCAAAATATATAGTTTAAGTACAGATCATTTAAGGTCAACGGAAGATGTGTTAACACAGTAGAAATTTGCAAATAGTATCTGAACTCCACAGTTGATGTTAGTTATAATTTCCTTTGATAGGATAAGTAGCAACATCTAACAAGAAATGCTAATCTGGCAGAGATTCCTAATGTTTTAGGCCAAACAGGCTGCCGCTATTCTAAAAGAATTATTCACTGTGCCTCTGAGAGCCATTATGGTAAGGTGACTCCTATTTATGGACAAACTCAGCATGCTGTATCAGCCTATATACAGCATCTCCTCTCCTCTACTGTATGTCATAACCATCTGCCCCATTCCTAACCTATTAAGTAATTCTATTTAGATTAAAATGTATGAGAACCTGATGCAAATTTATAACATAGAGGTTTCACAGTCACACACTCAATAGCAGATCATCATGCTGCCACCTCCATACAGGACTGTCCACTTATATTTGTTCCCTAGTTTATGGTTGTTCCTGCAAACTTTCGCTCATGTGAGCAGTCCTTTCTCATGTGGACAATTTCAATAAATGGAATTAATCCTGTGAGTAGAGGTTTGCAGTATTGGGCAGAGAGACACTAAATGAGGGCTGGTCTGGTTAGGTCCTGTGATGGTGTCGCTGGTGTCTACAGCTGTCTAACCAGATCAGCTACAACACTTCAAATTTGACACCATCAGATCAGGATTAAACAAAGACTGTGAATGGCTAGCCAACTACAAAAGCAGTTTCTCCTCCCCTGGTGTTCACACCTCAACTGCTAGAAGAGGGCCTCACCCTCCCTGATTAAACTAACCTCGTTATCCCCAGACTGAGTCTTGCCTGCATATTTATATCTGCCTCTGGAAATTTCCATTACATGCGTCTGACGAAGTGGACATTCACCCATGAAAGCTTATGCTCCAATACATCTGTTAGTCTTTAAGGTGCCACAGGACTCTTTGTTGCTTTTCACAATATATGTTTTTAAATAATTTTATTTCCTACAATAGAATATATTAAATAGTCTTCAACTATCTACACAGTTATTATTTTATCAGAACAAACAGAAGAAATGTGTAGAAGTTCAAACAAATACAGAAAGTCATTTTCACTAAAACACAAGCTTTATAAACTTTCATTTGGCTGTTTATTTCACCTCCAACTGTTTTCTTACAGAGTCTATGTGCAAAAACACACAAACTAAACAAATAACTAGATCCTGACATTAGAAACTTTCCCCTCTTTAATCATCCAAACTTGGGTTTATTATCATTATAAACTGAATGGAATGTTGAGATTCAAGCAATTTGACTTGCTTGTGTACAGGGCATCAATTCTCTAGCAATGCCTTCTACATACCCTTTGAAACTACATTAACCATTAAAAAAACCCATATATGCCTATTTTTGTTTGCCATTTTTAGTCTGCAATAGCAGTAATGACCTTGAACAAGGCAATTCTTTGGGGTTAATGTCTGGCTGAGGTTAATGGCCAGAGGCATTCCTTGTTGATTATTAACCTCCAGGAAATGTGTTGTATCTCAATCATTGGTACTTAAGTTTGGCTCTCTATCTTAATTACAGAGCTCTTCATTCCAGCAAAGAATAATTTTTTAAAAGACAAATATCCACATTGCACAACTCTGAACTAACTGTAACTAAAAGACCAAGTTAAGAGAACGTAGAATTTTATGGTCTATATTCCAAAAATGGTTGTCTTAACACAAGTAAGGTCCTGCTAAGCAGTTTTGCTTTATGCCACTCAGTGTTCCTTAAAGGCAGACAATCATCTCCCTAGTTGCTCTGAAAGGATTAGAATGAGAAATTCCGTGCCACTCCTTTCAGAGGCAGCCATGTTACCTTTTCTGAGAAGTCAGAATAGAGTGCTTTTGTATACCTTATAGGGTTATTAAGATAAAAAGCAATGACATAATAGAATAACACTTAATTTATTTCAATTCATGCCCTTCAAAACTTGTGCATTTGTATTCACACATTGCTTAAAGTAGGTTTTCCAGATGCACACAACTACCATGTTGTACCACCATATCTGACTGTCAATCTTGCGGAAGAGAATAGCAAAGGCAGGAAATCTCAATAAGTAGGATTAGTGATCATGACCTCAAAAGCAATTAAAAGAACCAGCATCATAGAACATGACAAAAATCCTGTAGCAGACAAGCCCAGAGAGAAAAATTGATGTAATGCATGTAACATTTCACATATCTACTTGATAACAAAATGTTGCAAAACAAAGAACATTTTGATGTTTTCTCACACAAGTCATATCCTACCAAATGTCAAAATCCACAAACTAATGAGGAATCTAAAAATAAATCCCAAAGACAAAAGTGAGAAAATTGAAGTCTTTAAAGTCAACATGTAGACAAGATGACTCCTCATTCAACTTCTTCAAGACTCACTTCTGTGATGCCAACAAGAAATTAGCCAACAAATAAATTCCTTTCTTCTATTAACAAACAAAAAATTCTTTACTCCACTATGCTGGCCATTAGCACTTTTTGAATAACCACAGTATCCAACACATGTTAACCCTGTCTTTCAACCTGCTATCTTATTACTCCCTCATTATGTCATGTCTGATATTAGCTTCTAAGGTATTTGGGGCACAGATCGTGTTGGGAGAGGGATACCTCCCAATTTTTTGGCAGAATGATAAATTAACAATCTAGTAAAAACTGCAAAGACATTTTAAGTAGGCAGAATATAATTACCCATGTTGGGAATGGTTCAGATCTAGTTTGCAAGATTTAACATTTACAGATTTCTGTCTGGTTCCTCATCCTCAATATACATACCGATTGGGTTTTTTTAATCCAGGAACTTCAACACACTAACCCAACTACAAAATGCACATTAACGTTTCTGGTGAGGGTTCAAGCCACTAAAATTTGCCATTTCTCCTGAATGGAGACTATTAGCACTGCTAGTCCTCCTTTGGATGAGTTTAGTACTAATTATATATTAATAGTAATAAATATTTAGCATTTAACATCAAATCACTTACTTGTTAAATAATTAATTAATCCTCTCGACACTTTGTTAAACAGGTATTAATTTCTTTTTACAGATGAGGAATAGAGAAATTAAGTGAGTTGCCCAAAGCCACATAGATAGTCATTATCAAAGCTGGGAATAGAGCAATGGCTCTCAACATTTCCAGACTACTGTACCCCTTTCAGGAGTCTGAATTGTCTTGCGTAGCCCCCAGGTTTCACTTCACTTAAAAACTACTTGCTTACAAAATCAGACATATGAATACAAAAGTATTACAGCACACTAATACTGAAAAATTGCTTAATTGCTCATTTTTACCATATTATAATTATGAATCAATTGGAATATAAGCATTATACTTACATTTCAGTGTATAGTATATAGAGCAGTATGAACAAGTCATAGTCTATGAAATTTTAGTTTGTACTGACTTTTCTAGTGCTTTTTATCTAGCCTGTTGTAAAAGTAGGCAAATATGTAGGTGAGTTGATGTATCTCCTGGAAGACCTCTGCATACCCTCCAGGGTACACATACCCCTGGTTGAGAACCACTGGAATAGAGTATAGCGGCTCCAAACTATATTTCTAGACCAGGCATAGCACTACCTTACATTATGTTCTACTGTTTTATTACAGCAAAGTTATATGCTCCCAAAACACTTATATGTATTGAACATGCTCTTTGAATATTATGCTTGATAAAATTCTAGATGTTTGGCTTTTAAGGCACGGATGTACCTTGTATTAGTAGTGCAAGTTTTCTTTGATACGGGACTGCAGCAAGATACTTCTCAACACAAAGGACGGTTCTTGAATTCTTTTCAGACCTTACATCCAGTATTGAGAGTGTTTGGGGTTTTTTTACTTTGCATTATTATACAACACTTCTCAGCTGGGATCTGATGGATATTCCCACCCTTCACATTCTCTTTTCTTTACTTCCTCAAAGCTGAGGCTATGAAAACACTGCCAGCAGCCTAGTACAGCTTTTCATGGAAAGTTGCCACTCTAACCTGGCGTCTAACTGCACTTTATTATTGTCTCCGGGGAATTTAATGCTTTGAGGTCACTTGGACTTCATTATGCCAACAGAGAAGGTAACAAAAACTTTCACTGTGAATGTAGAAAAAGAAACTATTAAGCATTACTGAAGTAGCTCTTCTTGTGTGAGTTCTTCTGTTCTTTGCTCCCCAGTCACCATGGCCAGCTCATCCTTCAGTTCCTGGATCACCTTCTTCAGCTGGATAATCATCTACAAATGGCAAGGCAGTAAAACAAGCATCACCTTCTGATTAATGGCTAGACCATGATCTTTGCATTAGAAACCTGAGATCAATAGAACATTACACTGTGTGTGTTTCTTTCACTCTCATTTTACAATTTCCCTTTTTTCAAATAGGCCAAAATGACTAAATATATTCCACTTTTTTTTTTGTCTTTTCCATTTATAAAACTGGAAAAAGCCTTCCAAAATCAGTAAATTGTATGTGTTAGAAGACATGGATGTACAGCATGATTTTAAAAGATTACATATAAGAAAAATCATTTGTCATTGGAGTGGAAGAGAATTTTATGACATTACTTTTGCTTGTTATTGTATCTTTGCCAAAAAGAGAAAAAGATTGGACAACCACACCCCAAAGCTGGATCATTCTTTTATTCTTTAGGAAAAGAAGTTTCTAAATGTAAACTAAATTTTTAATTTAGAAGTTTTTTTAAATATCAAAATCAATATTCTCCAATATAAACTTACACTGTGCCTCATTCATATATAGCCAACAACCAGCAAGTTTTATGAATCAACATAATGAGAAGTAATTAAACCACATTAATAAGTAGAAGTAATTGAGGAGGTGATTTGAATATCTATATTGTGTTTCCTAATTTTGTCATTATTGGAACCTGGATCTCATTGCTCTAAAACAGAAAGTTTGTATGAGGAGACATCTGGCAACACAATATCCTCCTAGGAATAAATCCTGTGAGGTGTTGACCTCCTGCAACTCCCCTTGACTGAAATATGAACAGCAGATACTTGGCACCTCTCAGGATTTTGCCCGTTTAATGAATTAACATCTTATGATGGATTAGAGAAATATCAAAAGTACATTATTTTTCAAAACCCTTAATAAATATGAAAGCCTTGATTCCACATACAATAGCTTTAAAAAGGCAGCCCTTCCAAATGTTACATGGCATGGATTTTGGGCAAAATTAAACATATCTGATTGTATATGCTCTCTAGAGTTAAGATTCTTTGGGTGTCCTAATCATGCCTTAAAATCCTTTCAAATATATGGATGTCTTAACCATAAATTTAACTGTAACTTTGAATTTCCTGCATTTCTGATTTTTAAAAAATAACTAAAATGCTGTTGAAAGTTTTTTTTAATGTGAAGTAACTAGGACCATATGTACTTTGAAAGTTTTACTCCAACTCAACAAAGCATTTTATAAGGGAATTAAATATGCTGGTGAATGTCTCATTACAAACTCTCTGATTACCACCATAAATGTGCTGTATTCCCATTGGCATGTCAGGGAATTTTAATCTGATATTAGGATTGGTTACTCTACTGTTACTCTCTGATACTGACCCAGTGCTTGGTACAGAGTTTAAAGTGAAAATTTGGTCTGGAAGTATAAAAAGGCAATGCACGCAACTGACCCTTCACCTTTAGATAGTGATTTCAAATGTTACGATGATTAAAATATATCTGATCTATATTTGAAATGCAATCTACAGGGTAGGAGTAAAATGCTGATTTTTTTTAAACAGTGTTAAAAATAAGCTCATAACCATAATTATAAAATAGTATTTGTAACACTCTGTATCTCAGGGGAACCCCCTGAACCCTCATGTTCATCCTTATAATACAATTGTGTGGTATCCAATGCAAAGTTTGTCATGTCGGGTGTCTTTGGAAGGCTCATGATGCACTGAGCATTGTTGTTATAGTAATGTTATAGGTTGTAATTTCATGTATATAGTTATGAGGCTGAAAATGTGTCCTCATGGCTTAAAACAAGCCCAGGCAAAACTCTCCAGGAACAGAGGGGCATTTCACACCTCATCAGGGCATGTATGGGACAAACCCAGTGTAGCCTCACAGGAACAAAGGACACTGGCCTAGGCAGCAACAAAGGATCTGTTGGATTCTCCAGTAAGTCACCCCCCTTCCTTTGGTCAGTCAGGGACTACGATGAGGTAATGCTCACCTGACCCTGAAGGGGGGGGAGGGCAAAGCCAAGAGGGAAGAAAGAACATGATAAAAGGGAGAGACGTTTGCCATGCTCTTCCCGTCTCTTCCACCTCCATCTACAGACATCACCACCAAGCGACTGAAGCGCTGATCAAAGGGGAGAGCCTGGCTGAAGGGCAACCAGCCAGCCTGTGGTGAGAAGCATCTAAGTTTGTAAGGGCACTGAAAGTGTTACGATCACCTTAGAATCTATTTTGCTTTTATTTCATTTGACCAAATCTGACTTGTTATGCTTTGACTTATAATCACTTAAAATCTATTTTTTGTAGTTAATACATTTGTTTGTTTATTCTACCTGAAGCAGTGTGCTTGGTTTGAAGTGTGTCAGAGACTCCCCTTGGGATAACAAGCCTTTGGGCTAACAATTTCTTTGTTAAATTGATGAACTCATATAAGCTTGCAGCGTCCAGCAGGCATAACTGGACACTGCAAGACGGAAGTTCCTAGGGTTCTGTTTGGGACCAGAGATATTGGCTAGTGTCATTCGGTTGCACAGTCCAAGCAGCGGCTGGCCAAAAATGCTCACTCACGTAGCTGGGAGCAACTTACACACTAGAGGCTGTGCGTGAACAGCTCAGGAGTTAGGGTTCTCACAGCAGAGCAGGGTAAGGCTGGCTCCCGGAGTCAAGGATTGGAGTGACCTAGCAGATCACTGGTCCAGATAACACCAGGGGAACATCACACTATTATTTTAGTTTTTAATTAGTGCCAACAGCATACTAGATTCAATTGAGGCTCAGCATTTGGTTTTTAGTTTGAACTAAATCCTGCTTTTGTCTAGAAACAGAGGTAGTTAAAGCTAAACTGCTTTAAAGAAGAAGAGAAGGAAATGGGCATCAAAAGATTCCACATCTATTGGTCAGTTTAGCTGAGATACACAGTGAAAAACATACAGTATCTCTCCATAGTGAGAGATAAAATACATATCAGAGTCAAATTTACCTTAGTAGCATTAAGGTATTACGCACACCCTTTGTATGACCCGCACTTACAGTAAAGATGATGAATCATGAAACTAGTATGTTGTTCAAATTTATGTGCCAAATCTTAAGCCCAGCACACACAGCTGTGCACTGGGAAGAGAACTGTGGTAGTGATGGACAAGGAATCCCCTTAGGCCTCAGTGTGGTCATGAAACCATGTAGCCTCTGTGGTTCTTGTGCTTTATTCCCTTATTCCATGGGAGTGAATGGCCAATAGATTCATAAAATCGCAGATCCACTAACTCCATTTCTGACCCTCCCTAGTCCAACTATGCTTTGCTCCCCAAACACCACCTTGAAGACAGCAGCACACTGAACATGTGAAGAAAAGCTCTGCAGTATTTAGTAAATGTTGGAGACCCTGTATGTGTTCCACTGCAATTAAGACTTCTGTGGCCATGAAAAGGGTGTGGCAGGATTTAATCCTATATGGTAAAAAAAGTCTCATGCAATGTTAAACTTCTTCTATTATCCTTCATTTTGTCTCTCATTTTAAGTTTTTTAATAGCTAGAGTTGTGGGAGAAAGAATTTATAGCAATGTCTGAGAAGACCCAGCAAGGATCACTCCTATCCCCTCTGAACTTTCAGAACAAGTTAAAATAAACACAGAACCATTAACAGTGGTGGCTGAAATGTGTTAGATAACAGTAAATGTCAGTCACAGTTAGGATACTCATTAATCAAAAGAAAAAAACATGCCTGAGAAATCAACTGCCTCCTATGTCATATAAAACCCTTTCTTCACTTTTTTTAAATTAACCAATTATGGGTCCACAGAAATACAAAATATACAATTAAAAATTAACCGTGTCAGACTTCAGAAATTATAATGTTTATTTTAGAGTATTAAAAAGAATTGATTATAGAAGTTATGCTGAACAAAAAAGGGACCAAAAATAGTTTAAACTAGAATCATTCAAATTCTGTGTTCTTCAAAGATGAAAAGCAATGGTCCAGTTTTCAAAGACAGTGGACATAAAATTGCAGAAATGGAGGCTAAGAATTATGGGTTCCAATACTAGTAGTTGGATATCAACAAAATAATATAATGAGATTTTATCTTGAACTTATATTCCTTCTGAGATCTTTGTTGTTCTCTATATACTGCAACTCATCTATCACTCTTTCCTCACTGCATCCAAGCTTTCCCCCTCTGGAGAAATTTATGTAACATTACCCAAATGTTGTACTGCGTCAGAAGAGACTATCGTTTGATCTTCAATATGCAGCCCACTTGCTGAGACATCTATCATTATGTGCTGTACTGTACTGGACTGGTCATTCCTTAAAATGATGCTCTCTGAGTTTTCAAAGGAAACAAGTTATTGGTTCTGTAACCAGTGCAGAAAATTACTTTTTATTTTACTTCCTAATGTACCAAGTTTCAGGAGTTCAGACCTTCTCATCAAATGAAGTAAATATGCAATGAATCTGGCTGTTGCATATAGCATCTTTTAATGGAAATATTAGCCACAAGTCAAATAGAGAAATGTGTATATTCTAATTCTGTTACATATACAAAGGAAGCAGTTTCCCACTTTTTTTGTGGCAAACTTTTCCTTTACGAGTGTGGATTATTACCCATCTCCTCTTCTGGAACTTCCTTCTCAGCCCCCTGCTCTCTTCCTCAATCCTCCCTGCTTCCCTCAGGAGCTGAACAAGGACTACTAACATTTTATGATAGAAATCCCATTTTTATTCCTGATTTATTCTTCTTCCTCCTTCCTTAATGGTGACTGGAGCAATGGAACCTCTTTTCCTGGATAGAGTGAAGTACAGCAGACCTTCCTGAAGATAGCTCCAAGGAACAGTTCCAAGCCTTACATCATACTGTGTGCTGGATTAAGCATGCCACCTCAGCAGTGTAACCTTATTTCTACAGACCTATGAAGCTGTAACTATTTTATCACTAAGATGGCTATTGCCACCCTCTTTCCCTCCCATTTCTGCTGAATGCTTCTAAGTTTAAATAGCCATCTAAATGAACATGGATCAATAATTATTGTTACAGAAAACACGAGATTAAAGGAAGCCAAATGTAAGCTTAGAAAGAATAGTTAATTTCTAAAACTCAGTAAAAGTTCTCATCTCTGCCCACCCTAAGTATAGTGAGTTCAACCTTGCATTGCTATCTCTGCCAGTGCAAGGACCAAGATTTGTAAGAAACAAGACAAATGTAGATGGCACTCCCACTGTTTTTTCTCCTGAGATCCAGTGAATCACTTCTATAACAGAAAAGTGGAGAACTAACTCTGAAATTCTTATTTCAGAAGCTGGAGAAAACTTGACATATTTAAACTTCTAATATGCTAGTAAAAAAAAACAATAATGGATTATAAAGAAATAATTAAAGCTTACAGCCAAGATTTAAAAATGAATAGTGAAAATTAGATTCCTAAGTCCTTACTTACATGTTTAAGTGCCCTAATTTTCAAAAGCGCTGAGCACCTAGCAGAGCCCACTGAAGTTACCAGAAGGTGCTGGATGCTCAGGACTTCTAATTTTTCGGATTATTTTACTGTGCAAGGGGCTATAAGAACCCTCACTTCTCTATGCTAGGAGTTTTGTATAGCACTAACTGTAGCATAGAAAAGTAAATTCTATTCTTGTAGTATTTATCTAACCGAACTTCTAAAGGATCAAACCTGTACACATGGCTTAAATGCAAAGTTTCAGCATTAACAGAAACCATAAAGAGACCCATTGTGTCTAAAAAAATTAAATAAAAATGATAAGATGGTAATGGTAATGCCAAGGGAAAATATGTCTGCATTAAGATGTTTTTCTCAGCTAAAATGTCAGGATGCTTGTGGTACTAAATGTGGTGTACCATCTTCCTACTAGATTATGCCATTACTAATCAGGGAAGGCAGATGATGATATATACATGAGGATTACATTTAGAATTCTCTGATCTCAAGCCATCAATATGAAACAATAAAGTATCCACTGACACAAATCCCATCAATGTTCTTCTGTTTACCAGATGTTATTTTTTTCCTCCCTTTTTTCTTCTTCCTGACCATCTTTAATAAGAAAATTATTACTTATGGATGAAAACAAAATTAGAATAAAGAGAAATATAAAATAGACAAGCATTCACACATACTGACTTTGTGAACAGTAAAGAAGCAATAGCACATGGCAAGCAGTACATAGGCAACTGCAGCATGCTTGGGAAAGGTAAGGCAGAGAAAAGCATGGGTTTGAAAGTTAAATTACTTTAGCTACACAGGAAGTGCAGTGAGCACAATGAAACACGTCACAAGAAGTACTATGTGCTTTTGTGGAAAGGAATTTTGGCAATGAAATATGGAAAGTAAACCAATCAGGCTGGAGTGTTTACTGGACATCATAGACTTGGCTGCCATTGATGTAGTAGCCATTTGGAAAACTCCAGTAGAAGCAACACTTAAGTTTACAAAGTCAAAGACTCAAAAGTTAGTAAATGTCAGAATTAAAGTTGCCTGTGCAAACTTCATACACAGAGAGGGCTGAATTAACTGTGATACATGTTTGAATTACTTGATCACATACTGTTTTTTTCACAAGAGTCCTGTTGCATTCAGGGCACAGGATGGACAGTGCTCACTTAATGAGCAGCTATTCAATATTTTATTTTCTACTAACTGTTCAATGTGTGGCATGTGCCTTACTTACTGCACACTATTCAAACCCTCCTCTGAAGATAGAATTATTAATTTTCTAACAGCTTTTCTATTGTGCTAATTATAGTATCTGAACTCCCAGTCCCAATTTTCCTCTTTCCACATCCAACAACCCCTGTCTTACTTTTGACTCCCCTTCCCCTAATCCCCTAATTCCCCTTGTCCCAATCTACTCCCTCTATTACCCCCACCCTGCACTTCCAGCTCTTGTCCCCTCTACATTCAAATCAGGCAGCTTCTTCCTTCACACTGCCTGGGCCCAGTAGAGGGTCACTGAGCACACAGGAAAAAACAGGCTCCCTGCTCCCCAGTTCAGGTTTCCAGATCTAGCAGGGCACCACAGCAGCCCAGAGCTGCAATTGACGAGAAAGTCCTGCTGAGCCCTGGGCTGGAGCATGCTTAATGTGAGTGAAATCTTCAGGGCATTTAGCTGATAAAATCTAAGTGATCTCTACTGAGCATATGGAAACTGGCTTCCAAAGGCTTACAACTTGGCCACATGTGGGTGTATTTTCACAGAGATGAGATATCCCTGACACAAAGTCTGCCCCTCTGCCAAAATTTCAAGTCCCTGCCCCCAAAGCATGGGTGCACTAGAGCTGTACAAATAAAAGGGTCACAAAACAAAACAACATTTTTCCATAGCCGTGTTCTTCTCAGAATCAGCAACACAATTTTGGCTGAAATTTTCAAACAAACAAACAAACAAACAAACAAATTCAGCCTGTGGCAGATATCCTGAATGGAAAATTTCAGCCCTAAGATTTGGCAAAGTTATAAGCAACTGAAAACAGGGTCTTATAATCGGAAGTGTCACGCAACCTTCATAATAGGCTGTGAAAACAACCCCTACTCAAATCCTCGAAAAGATTCAAACAAACAAAGGAGTTTGCTGTCCTCATATAAATGCCACATTGTAAATAGACTCCCTGGAATGTACGTTTATTCTATACTGTAACCGAGAAGCAGAAATATTATCAGCAGAAAAGGAGAATATACCTTAAAGGTCAAATAGTAGATTCAAAAATATAATTCACTAACAGATTTGTCATTGGCTGATACTTCTAAATCTTACAGAATGGAATATTTCATTGTGTACTTACTATATTTGATCTGTGCTGAAAGTTTAGTTTGATTTTGATTTCTAATATATTTATGGTCTATGTATAAAAAAGTGTCAGAGTTAAGCTAAGTCATCTTCAGGAGTGAATTCTCCATTGTACAGTAAGGTTATCAATGATAATTTTACAGAGTGAACAGTTCTCAGAGGTTTTAATTTCAAAAGCAAATAGTTAAAACTATGAGATGTTCATATATATGGTCTTCCTTTTGAGAATTAACCAGTCTTCATTCTGCACTAACAGAGAAGTGGCCCCACTGTAGAATAACAGTTTCAGACTCACTTCATCTCAGTGCTCTTAGCTCAAGCACAAAGTTCCTTAGTTTTACCAACCGTTCGACTGCATATTTGTCAGTGATCTGGCTCATATGGCATGGTAATGAGTCTTCCTTGGAAATAATGTACGGAACACTAGTCAGTACTGCTATGGACTTCACCATGAGATAATTTACAGTGACATAAAATAGATATTTTAAGTCAACTATTTGGCAACAACAAATAAGGGGATCTGAGATCAGAATCAGTCCCTATCAACATTATTTAATCATCATTAATGATAATTAATTTCAAAGTCACCATTCACAAGCCTTGTGAATTCATAAACTTCAATGGTCAGCTCATGTTACTCATAATATCTAATATTTATTTTTATTGATATTAGGTAGGATTATTCGAAGTGCTCAGCACTGGCCTATCTACTCCTATTGAAGTCAATGGTAAAAGCTCCATTGATTCCATGGGAGCTCTGTTAGCACATACTGAGTATTACTGATCTATATAGTATATAAAGCCAGATGCCCCTTCATAGCTGGTAGTCAGTCACTTCTTCATATGATAAGAAATCCCTATAATGAAATCCTTAGAACATAATGATAGCAAACTTTTTCCTAATATAGACCACATCTTAACATAGACCTCTTCTGGACAATCTGCCCTTTCATTTGCTATTTCATTTCTCCACCCAGGGCTTCATCTTGCTCCCATTGAAGTCAATGGGGAAATTCCTATCAACTTCAATGGAGCAGGATGAAACCCTAAGTTCCCATCACCTAATATCTCTTGTGGCAATTGTAAGCAATTGCTTATATGAAAAAGTAATATTAGGAAAATGGTTAATGTATGCATTACTGTCTTTCATGAAATACAGCAGGTGGAAGAATAGGAAAAGGCCACCATCAACTGACCAGCCAGCGCTCTATAAATCACTAACAAGAGCCCTGTAGGCTACTGGTGGTCTGTGGACCACAGTTTGGGGAACAATTGCCCTGGAGGATGCACAAGGATTGTTATGAAAAGTATGATTCCTTTTTAATGACTGTAGGAGTTTCCCATGCCATTATGAGCTTTTAAAAAGGTCAGTTTAATTGTAATTATTCTCAGACGGCAAAATAAAAACAACAGCAGCAGCAATTTTACAGCAAAAGCTGGAACTTGTATCTAAACATGACTGATTGGGATCATGAAATCCTCAACATATATGTAGCTGTACCTTTTTACTAAAACAAAACAAAACAAAAACACCACCACCCAAAAACCCTCTTACCAGTCTAGGATCAATTTCTTCATTAAGAACTGCCTCATTCTTAATAAGTGCAACTCGCTGTGCAAATCTGCATGTTGATATAGATTCCTGGAAGGAAAAAAACAACCCCTTTAGCATGCACTGATGTAAACTCTGAGTGCTAACTATTTTAAGGAGGAAATTTTAAATTTATTTTACAGTACCAATCTCACACTCCTGGCACTTCAAATCTCTAAAAAAACCAAACTTCAGTGCAACTATTCTAACTATTAACATATTAACCTGCCTGATAAAACTCTC